AGTCCGTCGTGGCGATCCAGCGCGCAACCGATCAGCCTATCGTTAGCCCGACAGGACTTTCCGACTCGCACCAAACACTCTGCCTAGCCACTGCTTCCCGGAAGCTGGCTTGAAAGTCGAGAACGTAAGAGAGATTTGCGGACGCGCTTGCGGGCTTTATAGTTGCGACAGGGGAGACGAAAGGGAAAGAAAACGAAGGGAAGGTTGGGGTGTAAGAGGAGAAGCAGGAGGAGAAGACTTTGAGAGGAGTGCTCTGTGGAAGTCATGTTGATCCCTCGAGTCTCAAGGTTCAACCAATCAGATTTGTCGCGCAATAGGAAGATCCTATTGATCCACGCACCTGATTGATGAGCGTGAGCTATCGAAGGATCGACCGGGCGTCGTGCGCTAGATCAGAGGATGAGAATGGAAAAGGCGCGAGAAGTAGCGCAAGACGGGTCCAAGATTCAGAGGATCAAGAAAGGGAAATGGGCGCACAAAAAACAAAGCGGGGGAGAGAGAGAGAGAGAGAAACAGTTATGAGGAGAGAGAAACAGGAGGGAGAAGAGAAGGGAGCGCGGGAGGGAGCGATGCGGGGGACAGAGAGGAGAAAGCTTTTGCATGCGCGGCGCCGTCTACAAAAAGAGGGAAAAAGGCACCGAAACAGTTACAGCTTGCCTCTATCCTAATTCAAAATTGAAATCACCATGTCCGCGCGCGAAAAAGCGACGTGGGAAAATAAAATCCTACGCCTATTCGTATTCGAACAAAATTCCGAGAGTTTTCCCCAACGCGACCGAGAACATTCACACACAAAAAGGACACGTCGAGGTTCCGCTTATCCCGGAATTTCCAACCCTCGGGCCCAATTTCCATTGCGCTCGGTAAGGCGCACGTAAATTCCCATGCATTTCCCGACTTGCAAAAAGAAAAACAGAACCCGGGAATCGTAAAAGCTTTCGAAAGATGGGAGCCACAAAAAAAAACGCGGCACCTGAAATCAAGAAAACAAAACGGGGTTTTTATGGGGTTGGTATGATACAAGCAAAAAGGGTACGAAAGATAGCACGGGTTCGGGAAGTGGTTCGTCACGTATGTGACGCGCAGGGGGTTCCAAAATTATGCGATCTCCGGATTGCATGTCATGGTGGAGAAGGAGAGAGAGAGGAAGAGAACAGAGTGATGCATGAGGAACCAAGCGCATCAACAGATGAGCCGGAATTCTCGATGGTCATCCAGGTGACGCCATCATCGTCCGCTGGTTCTCCGTATGCTCTACACCCCAGGTTGTCATCGCCCGTCGAACCAGAGAGTAGGTTGACGTCATCGCTGATGGCGTGATCTTCGCAAAGCTTACTGATTCGTGTCATTTTCCACCGCCGATTAGATGGAGAGAGGAAGGGGAAGGGGGAATGGTGATGCGACCAGGATCTACCTCCTAGTTGGGATAGGCCAATAGAGGCGGTACATAGAGGGGATCTCACGGGGACGACGGGGAGGAAGCGGGGGTAGGTAACGATTCATCCCTTCCATCGTCACCGGAAGCTCCTCATATCGGATGATTCGGTGGAAGTGAGGGAAGTGATCG